TATTCTAAGAAAAATTTTAAAATATAGTAAGTGAGGAAATAAATTCCGTACATGGAGGCAGGTAGTTGGGGCTTCTTGCTTTCGCGTAATGAGTGGAAGCGCCCGAAGACATGGGCGCTAGGCAGACTGGTGCACGTAGAGGCAGGCAGGTATGGTCATTTGCAGATATAGGGTGTGCACTCGTGAGGGCTGGCGACATGTGTGCTGCACTAGTAGGCACTATCGGATTGGCATAATCGCGTAAGAGGGATAAGCGTTGGGCGTTGTTGGAGCGTGCAGCAACGGCATTGGCACGCGACAGGGGAGGTGCGTAGGGTGTGCGACAGGGGGCACCTAAGGCATGGGACAATAAGGTTAACGCATGGTGGTTGTGCACGCTAGGGGCGGCTCAACTATGTGTTAAGGACAACGGTACCTCTTCGAACCCTAAGTATCTCCATAATAGTATGATATTGTCCGCTATAGACATAGCCCTCACGGCTTTGCTTTTGGTTCCACCAAAAAGACCTCATACCAATGGAGATAATTATCCTTCTTTTATATCACGGATCACCTCATTCCCTAACCAATGTGGGACTTTGTTTGCACTCCTTACAAACCCAACACTACGAACATGTTGATGAGCAATGAGAACACTCGTTAAGCCTTACTTCGTGTGTGTTGATGTTGTTCTCTTTGACTTGGCTAAAAGACTTGTTGCTAATTATTATAAAAATAGTTATCAAACATGATTGGTTTTAACCTAATAAAATTGGTTACAAAAAACCAGAACTTAAAAACAAAAAACGTTACAAAAAACTAAAAAGTTATAATTAGTTTAACCTAATAAAATATTCCATAAATTAATTTGACATATAACTCATCTTTAGAACTTTTAAATTTTTTTTTAAAATTGAATATTTTCATTTAATTACTGTATTTATTCTCGATAGACATGATAAAATTCAATAGTTTATTTTAAAATTTATGAAATTATTTGATGATATTAATTTTTTGTATAACGATATTAACTTTTAAATGACAAGAAAATAGTTTTCAAACCGTAAGAAAATGCGTCGATACACATAATTTTTTTTCTTTGAAAAGTTGATACACATAATTTATATCTAGAAATAATGTAATGAATAAATAAATATAATTAAGTAAATATGCAACTTGAAAATTTTTTAATGGAATATATAAATTTTCTAAAATGTTCATAAGGCTACAAATATCAAACTTTCTATAAACATAATGGTAAATAAAATATTTCTCTAAGCGAATATTATTTACTTATGTTGGGATCCATATTATTTCGTTCCGGTTAAATTGAAATATTAAGAAAAGCGGCTTGTAAGGGGTCGTTTAATAATGTTCTTATTTACTGTTTCTCGTTTCCCATTTTCTGTTTCCTGTTTATTATAACTAATTTTGTCCTGTTTATTGTTACTGATAAGACTTGATTAAAGGCTAAAAAAGAGTAGTTTTCATGCTTGGTTGGGAGTTAATTATGATGGAAAATGTATGTTAATGCATATAATTCATGGAAAATGTGCATATTTCGTTATTAAGGACTTAGGTAAGTAGTTAGAAGCAAATAGAGGCTAATTGATGAAAATTTGTTTATTTTGTGAGAAAAATTGGAAATTGATGACTACAATGCGTCAGACACATCCAAGTAGTTCCAGATTATTAGAAGGATGCGCTAGCCAATTGTTTTGAAAGTTCCAGCTTCAGTGCTTCAGCCACATTCGATGCCTAGATTGTCAAAACGGGAATAACAATTTTTGATCAAGCAATTGGTCCAAGATTTGTTATTAGTTCCTAAAATCTCTACAACTTCATTTGGTTCCAACCTCCCATGCATTTCTCAACATCTTGTTACCTCCATGGCCTATAAGAGGAGCTTCTAAGCATCATTTCTACACATCTCATTTTCCATGCTTTTGTTTTCCTTTCTACTTTAGCTTTGTAGTTTTTATTTAAGTTTTGTTTCTAATTATTTTTCTACAATTACTCTTGTCTATTTTATTGCAATTCAATTTGTTCCATTTTGTACTTTCTTTCCAATTCTAATTAAAATGCTTTCTTTTGTTATCTTCTCTTGTGTTTTAATTTCTTTAAATTCCATGTGTAGGTAAATTGTTTCTTCAACCCTCCTACGAGTTTAGTTCATCTATTTAAATTACATCTATCAGTGAGCACGGCGTATTACACTCTCTTTTGCTTATCTTGATTGATCTAATTTATCCAGTTGATTTTCTTGTTGGCCACTTGTTTAAATCACATTAGTTTGAATTTAATTTTGAAAGGGTTAGAGTCAAACGGATCTCATCAAGGTAAAATGGGAAGTAATAAGAACTAAAACAAGATCCTAGACATAGACTCTCTTACCCGTTAAACGTAAGTTGGAACTTGATTTATTTAGGATTCTACAGTTGCATAGACATATGTAAACACTAGCCTAAGCTTCTAAACAAACCAAAAGCGGTATGGAATAAGAGTTGAACCAGTTTGCATAAATTGAGTTTAATTACGGGTATATTTGATAGATGTAATTCATCTTTTAGAACTAAATCTTAGTAGGGTGGTTGGCCATTTAATTTCGGTGTTTCTAATTCGTGTTCCCAACAATTCCACCCATTTTTATTCACAAACTCGATTGCTCATTCAAGCAGTTTACAAAATCAATTTTAAAAGAAAACTAGTGTCTGTGGAGAAGAACTTGGAATATTTACAGATTATTACTTGTGACAGTGTACACTTGCACTTATCCTCTAGCTATTAAGCAGAGGCGTAACAGTTACTAATGTTTTTAGAACTAGAAACTTAAATGTTTGGTAACCAATTTTGTTTCTTGTGTTCTTGAAAAAAAGTAGAAACAAAATTTGAAAACTATTTCTTGTTTCTTATTTTTATTTTTATTTTTTTTAGTACAATAACTTGTAGAGGTAGGGATTCGAACCCACGACCTCTTGACCGAGAATTTATACCTTCAAGTTAGCTTTTTTTTAGTTAAATAAAATTTAATTAATATACTATAAAAAGGTAACATATACTCGAATAATAATATAATTTATTAAAGAAAATATTATTTATAATATAAATTTGTTTGATATAAATTATAAATTATTAGTTTAAATAAAAAATAAATTTTCAAATATTTTTAATTTGGAAAATATAATTTTTTTTGTTTGATAAAATATAATAACTTTAAATAAATAATAAATTTTCAAAATATTTTAAATTAAAAAAATATTAAATATAAAAAAGAAAAAAATTATAATTTATTAAAGAAAATATGACTTACCAAATAAATTTCTTTTGATATAGACTATAAATTATTAGTTTAAATAAAGAATAAAATTTTAAAATATTTTTTATTCGAAAAATATAATTTTTAAAAAAATATATAATATCTTTAAGTAAATAATAAAATTTCAAAATACTTTAAATTAAAAAAATGTAGAGGCGATAAAAAAAAATAGTACTTTGATTATTGTGAGAATCAAACTCTAGCATTGGGAGAGGATAGGATAATACAATCAAGATTCAAGGTACATGCTTGAACATCTAAACTATAGTTACGAAACAAGTAGTTATTTTTAGAAATATTTCTCAAAATTTAAAAACGAGAAACGAGAATGGATTACCTTATATGTCTTATTCTCAAAGAATAGAAACATAAACAAAAAATAGGAAATGAGAATGTTACCGAACAAGCGCTAAATTTCTCATTTCTCTTTTCTTGTGTCTTGATTCCAATGTTATTGAGAAACTCAAATATTTGACAACTATTTATGTTCATTTTATAATTTTTTTTAGAGACATTTCCATGTTTGTATAGAAATTTTGGAAGCAACAAAATCAAGTTTCTTGTTTCTGGTTACCGTTTCTAATTTCTTCCAAAACAAAAACAAAAATATTGTTTTATTACATTGACTTATAAAGAACAATAAATAGTTACTAAATATAATTATATTTTTTAATTAAAAAAAGAAAACAAGAAAAATTAACGGGAACGTTACCAAACGAGTCGTAAAGACTTATAGGGAGATTTTTTCTCTCATATAATTTTTTCATTCCAATATTTTTCTTTTCATGCTTTTCATTCATTCTTGTTGCGGATCTAGCATAGTTTTGTGTTAGATTTTCTTTTTTTTCTAATGCTGCATATGAAGACTAAATGATAATGATGAACTCTATGATTTTGTTTATTTATGATTAGCAAAATTATTTTCGTGAGTGATTCTTCCGACCCAAATGCATGTAATTACTTAACATCTAATTTCATGATTTTATATTTGAATAAAGGTTACAAAATTATTTCGTAACATTTATGAATCTCATACTTAATGGTTTTTTATATGTTCTAAATTTTGATAGAGTTTCAAAAATTTTATGTCCAACCATTTGACAGTTCTTTAAAAGTATTAGTAATAAAAGTAGAGAGAATTTGTTTTCAACATATGAAATAAATCTAAAGTTACTTAGAGTAAAGAAACTCAAGAGAAATTAATGAGGTCAAGTAAGAGATTTGGACTTCTATTTGTTCTCACTGAATTATTTTGGTTTAGTTTATTTGCAATATCATTTTCCGATTGATCAAATAGATTATTTAATTTATTTAATAATCAACAATTCACATAGATGACAACTTATTCACTTGTAATGTTATAAACACAAAGGACATATAAAACATGATCATGATATCATAAAAAGATGAAAAAATTAGAAACTTGAAATCGTTAACATAATTAAACCGTGACCGAAGTGGAACAATTAACTAATCCTAAGACAGGATTGGCACTCATAACTGTAACCAAAGTGTAACAATTAACTAATCCTAAGACATGACTGGCACTCATGATGTGCTTCGTCCGCTTTGCATATGGAGCTAATCCTAACATCATCAGTCCTTGCTAATTCCAATGTGGTGGAAGTTTGACGTTGTAGGCATGTAGTTGTTTAAAAATCCAGTGATATTATACATCATTTGTAAGTCAATGTTAACAAGAAAGGCTTCCATTATTAACGTCACTTTGTGATGGGGCTTGTAACCGAAGTGGGGGCATCAAAGATTCGGGATCTAAAAAAATCTTAAAGATTTGGAAACCCTTCGATAGCAGAAAATGAAAGGTAATCGACTTTATACCTGTTTCAGGCCTCCCCATTCCTCCTCAATTAGTCAAAAAATTTTTTTTGATAACAGCAACACAAGCAGAAGAAAGAAAAAAACAAACAAACATCAAACCACGCACTCCCGACCCACTTGCAAAGCCAAATCCGCTGTTTCTGAAAGATCCTCCAGATCAGTGGAGAGGAGGTTGAAGATTCTAAGAGAATCAGTTTCCAGACACACCATATGCGAATGCCGATTTCCGCTGCGAGCCTCAAGCCCTCGACCGCCGCAAAAGCTTCAGCTTCATCGACCGATTGCACATGATCCAGGTACATCGTAGCACTTGCCATCACCTGCCTTTTAAAATTTCGAATAATTAATCCCAACCCTGCACTGAGATTAGCTGAAGAAAAAGAAGCATATGAGTTAATTTTGTAAACCCCCTCAATAGGGGTTGCCATCTAATTTCTATCGGTTGCTGGGTATTGTTCATCATGCAACCATTTGCCTCCTTGTAGTCGAAATATAGGAAGAAGCCCATTCGGGCAAGCCTCGATCCGGATCCCTATTTCCCGGCTTGAAAGCCCGTTCATTCCGCCAATTCCACCAACCCCACAATAACACGGTCAATTCCTCAAAATCCGATCAGTTTAGGCTCGCTTGCCACTCTCGAATGATAAGAATAGTAGAATGATAGATCTTAATAGAAGGGAGATGACTAAATTTTGAAAAACTCCACGCATCTTTGACAATTTTACAACTCCAGAAGAGGTGAATGCTGTCTTCCCCTTTCCTCCCGCAAAAACTGCAAGTATTCTGAACGTCCACACCTCTTTTCGAAAGATTTGCTCCAGTAGGGAGTCTGTCCAAACAAAGGCGCCATAAGAAAACCTTGATTTTAGAGGGGATCCTCATTTGCCACATGCATTTCCACCACCTTTCCACCTCCCCCGAAGAAGACAAAACTTTTGAACTGGGTTGCTTAATCAGAGCAAATTTGTAACCGCTTTTTACTGTATAAACTCCCGTTTTCTCATAGTGCCAAATTAGCATATCCTCTTCAGATCCACGACCAATAGGGATGGATAAAATACTATTAGCTTCATCGGGTGTAAAAGCACCAATAATCACATCTTCCTTCCATTGAGCTAGTTCTTTGTTAATTAGAGCCTCAGCCTTCGTATCCACTGGGAGAATTGGCGAGGAGAGGATTTTCAAAGTGGGCTGGTCTGGGACCCAGTTATCAGTATAAACTCGCACCCTATCACCCATCCTGAAACGCCATCTAGAACCTTCCTTTAGCAAGTCGCGACTCCAAATAAGACTCCGCCAAATGAAGGATGGGTTTCTACCCATTGTTGCTTGCATAAAGTCACAATTTTTAAAATAACGCCCCTGCAAAACTTTCGCAAGGATCGAGTGCGAGTTATTGATAATGTAGAACAGATCAAAGAATGAGAAAGATAAAAACAGAAGAGTTTAAAGGAAAGAGATGGACACACAAATTTAAAGTGGTTCGATCAAAAAGATCTACATCCACTGTTGAAGGCCATCTTATTCACCAATGATCACGAAAATAGCAGTATCACACAAAGAATCAAAGCACCACCCACAAATATACTGTGCTTCTTCTTTGCAAACACTTATTGAAGTTTCTCTACTTTTAATCACCAATTTCTGCTCTACCATCAGCTCCCTCGAGCTCAGACAAGAGATTTGAAAGAGATTTGAAATCCTAGGGAATAAGAGAATAAAACTTCTCCCTATTACAAAACTTCCCTCAATCTCTCGTACTCTCACTCTCTCTCTCCCACTACCATATTCCAACAAACTAAATAGGAAAAAGGTGTAACAAACTGTTCGGATAATGACCCATTTAAGAAACCCGAACCGGAAGAAACAGAGCGATGCAAAAAACCCGTATGAGCTGGTAAAATAAAAGGGCATTATAAAATACCACCTGTCCACCTTGGTGTACAACAACAGTAGAAATGGTAAAAAACAAATTAGCTGTCAATAAAATAACAGATAATCCTCCAGCATTGTTTTGCAAGAAGAGCCTTGTTGAAAATCTCCAAATCTCTGAAACCCATACCACCCAAACATTTCGGGGAGCACAATTGTTTCCATCCCACCCAATAAATTTTCCTATCTTCCTCACTTGAACCCCACCAAAGTCGAGCTACAAGCTGGTGAAGGTCATTTATAAGCCTTTTTGGGAGTCTAAAACATGACATAGTATAACACGGGATTGCCTAAATCACAGCTTTAATAAGCACCTTCTTTCCCCCAGTAGAAAAAAGCTTACCTTTCCAACCTTGTAGATGTTTCCAAACACGTTCTTTGATGAAACTAAAGTGCAGTCTTCTATTTCTAGGAATAAAGGTAGGCAATCCGAGGTATTGATGGTGGCATTCCACTAGCTTAACTAAGAGGATATTTTGAAACTGCCCCCTGACCTCCGCCTTTGTATTTGGCTAAAAGCAATAACTGACTTGTCATAGTTCACCAGTTGACCAGAAGCTAACTCATACCTCCTTAAACAATCTTTGATCGCATGGCCTTCAGACATTCTAGCTTTGAAAAGGAGGAGGTTGTCATCAGCAAAGAACAAGTTCGTAATAGGCGGGCACTGTCGCGCAACAGAAAGCCATGACACACATTTGTCATACTCAGCCTTTCGAATTAGGCTAGACAACCCTTCAGCACACATGATAAACAGATACGGTGAAATAGGATCGCCTTGTCTAAGACCCCTCTGGGGCCTGATATAGCCAGTCTTTTCTCCATTGAGTTTAAATCAAAAGGAGACCGAGCAGACACAACTCATAATCAAGTCCACCCAAGCTTTGTCGAAACCCAATTTTAACATTATTGCCTCCAAAAAATTCCATTCCACCCGATCGTATGCTTTACTCATATCAAGTTTTAGCGCTGCCCAAGTAGAATTTCCAGCTTTCCTGTTTCGCAAGGAGTGAATACATTCAAATTCCAACATAGCGTTATCTATAATGTACCTTTTAGGAATGAAGGCACTTTGGCTTTGGGAGATAATTCCATCCAAAATGCTTTTAAGCCTGTTCACCAGCACCTTTGAGATAATTTTGTAACACACATTACATAAAGAAATTGGTCTGAAGTCGGAAACCCGGAGAGGATTCTTGTTCTTCGGAATCAGCACCAGCATCGTTTCATTGAAAGGCTCTACATCCCTTCCATGATTTAGGATATTCATATAGCAATCCACCACATCATGCCCTACGATATGCCAAAATTTCTTGTAAAAGGCCCTCGAAAAGCCATCTGATCCGGGGGCTTTATTAGGATAAATTTGATGAATTGCCCGATGGATTTCATCCTCATTAAAAGGCCTGAGGAGGTCTCGATTTTGTTCGGAAGAGACACGAGCCTCAATGCATTGCGTAACATTTGCGATATCCATCGCATTAGGGCCTATAGAAGAGAACAAGTCAGAAAAAAAGGATTCGATCATACCTGACACTTTGGTTTTGTCCTCCTCCCAAATTCCATTACGGTCCAAAAGGCCTTTAATTTCATTTTTTCGCCTTCTATAGGAATCCTTATTATGAAACCATTTTGTATTCCGGTCACCACTTTTCAACCATAAATCTCGAGATCTTTGGCGCCAATAAATTTCCTCTTCCTTAAGTAGGTTCTCCAAATTGGTTTCTGCCTGTTGGAACTCCTTCCGACTAGCTGCACAAGGCAAATCTGAGATGGCTCTTTGGAGATTTTCCTCAGCTTCTTTAATCCGCCGTTTGAAATTTCCAGTTCTATGTTGACCCCATCTCAACATATTTGTTGCACAGGGATTAAGTTTCTCCAACAAAGAGGTAGGATTACCGTCCAATGGAGTATGCGACCAACTGTTTGAAACAACCGTCTCACATATTGCATCTTCCAGCCACGTATCTTCGACTCTGAAAATACGCCTCGCCTTATTTAAAGTTCTAATGGGCTGGCCATAGATTTGTAATTTCAATGGTCTATGATCAAAGGTTCTAAAAAATCCAAGTGATAAACAGAACTGTGAGGGAACATATTCATCCACTTCATGTTACACAGAACTCTATCGAGGCGCTAAAAAATAGTATGGCCATTATGCCAGCCATTACACCAAGTAAAGGTGTCTCCATTATAACCCAAATCAACTAGGTTGCGATCATCCATAGCTTTAATGAAATCATTTATTAGCTTGTCCTCCTTCTTCTTTCCTCCTTTCTTCTCATCATGACTCAAAATACCATTGAAATCCCCCCGATCAACCAGGGAGTGGTGTTGCTACCTCTGAGCCATCTAAGGAGGTCCCAGGCCAGGCCTCTGTTCTCCTCTTCTAGATGACCATAAAAACCAGACAGTCTCCATTGTTTCCTTTCATAGGTCACCAAGCCATCTATATGATTTTGAGAAAATGAAATCAGATTAAAATCACCTCTTCATGCCAAAAAAGAGCAATGCCTCCACTTCGACCTCTACAAGACACAACAAAACTGTTCTGGTAGCCAAGTCTGAACTTTAAATTATTCACCTTTTCAGATGTAGCTTTTATTTCCAAAAGAAACAAAAATTGAGGTTTAACCTCCTGTACCAAGTTGTACAGGCTCTAGAATGTTGTGGGGGACCTCACCCCACGAACATTCCAAAAAAGGCCCATCATTGCGAAGGACGGGGCTGAAAATCAGCATCCACCCAACTGTTCGTCTCACCCATTGTGCTTGATTTCGAAACCCCCACATCAGTCTCCTCAAACTTCTGCCACTTCTGCTTACTCCAATGTGTGTCGTCTCCACACCACTCCTGGTTCTTAGCTACTAGGAAATCCTTCTATTTCCCCAAAATTTGATCAACCAGGCTGCCTTCCATGTTTTCCAGATGGGCTTCCCTGGCTCTTCTTTTCCAACTTATCTTTGTTTTGGGCCCCTCTTGCTCATGGACCACATCATTTTTTGGAGGGTCATCTAGGCCCTTAGACTTGTCCGTTATACTTTGACTTGCCATAAGTTCAAAATCCATCAAATTAGAATCTTTCTCATACCAGTTGGTAATTTCCAGGGCCAAAGATTTCGCATCGCATTCATTCTTTTCCGTGAAATTTGTTTCCTCAATTATGGCACGATCTACCATTCCATCCTCAACACTCAGCGACTTTCCTTTCGTGCTAGGATTGTCTTGTAAACATGATTACGACAATAAATTTTTCCCCGTGATTTTCGCCATTTCCACTGTAGAACATGTCTCTTCAATCACCCGCTCCTCAATCCGTTGCCGGTCACCTTCCACCGCCGCCGGCCGCTGGAGTGGCTCTGTCGGCTCTTCTAAATCCCTCCATACCGCTTCCTCTATCCCCCTTCCGCCGCGTCCCCCACGGCCACCCGCCCGCCGGATATTTGCACCCACTCTGCCTCCACGCCTGGTCGTATCCTCCTCCCTATTCTGTGAACTTTTCTTCAAAAGTAAGGCGCGTAACCACTCCCCATATTGTTTGCCAGCCAGGGAGAGGTTACCCCCCCCCCCGATCACATTCCTGCCTTGAATGACCAATTTTCCCACATTCATAACAAAAATATGGTAGCTTCTCATAACAGATGAGGCACGACACTTCCTTACCTTCACTGTTCTTGATTCTTATTCTGCGACATAAAGGTTTGGAGATATCAATCTTAACTCGGACTTGAATAAAATGCCCTGCCTAAATATCTTCACCTGCGCTATCCATCTCTTCAACCTCACCCAACTTTGCCCCAAGTAACGCGGTCATCTCCTTCGACAAACATTCAAATGGTAAATTATGGATCTGAACCCAAAAAGCACAAAGGTTGAAAATCAAATCTGAAGGTTGATCCGGGGATGAAGGCGAAGTTAGGACTAGAAGTGAGTTATTGAAAAACTAAGGGCCTGAGTTAAGCACTCTACTCTTTTCCGATAAGGATTTGAAGAAGATGACATAGGTATTCATTCCAATATGCTCTACCCTTGTGGCATTGTGCACTCTCCAAACCGACTTCATCACAAAACTAAGGGCCATTAGACTTATTCGTTTGTTTGTATGTAACTTCCCTACAGCGTAGAGTTGAACATTTTCAGATGTCAGAATCGGCTTACCTTTGTCTATGCTAATAGTTTCACTCTCATCATTCGTTAGTTTGAAATTCTTTCAAAGGTTTGTTATTTCCTCCATTGATTCAGCAAACCCTCATAGCAGATGCGCTTAGCAGTAGGCAATAGAACCACCCCGCACTCTCATGTAGAGAGAACATAAAAAAATAAAAAAATAATTAAAAAAAACTTAATGAAAATACAAATCATAAATAAAAGTAAACAAAGGTTGAGTAGCACTACCATACCATTAAGAAAAACAAATTGTAATAAGTCCAAAATTTGAAATACACAATAAAATCTAAAAGACAGTAAGACACTAAAAAAAGTTTTAAATTGTAAATTTAAACTAAAAGTAAAACATTAAAATTTAAACAACAATAGTTCGTGAAGCATTCTCTTTTCCTCATGTAATCTTGTCCATGTTATTATTTGTTGACTTATCTAATGTTACATTTGTTGAAATCTACAAAAGTAAAAGGAAGTAATAATTAGCTTATTAACATTAGAGAACATAAACATATATGATATATGTAATTCTTTAATCAAGTTCCAAACCTTCTTCAACGCTAGAAACTTTCTCCAAATGTGATCGAAGGTCAATACTAATAGCATTTGAGCGTAGCCAATTTTGTGCACAAATAAGTGCCTCAACTGTAGCTGGAGCCAATGTGGAGCGAAAAGGATCAATTCTCTCCCACCAGTACTAAATCCAGACTCAGAAGCAACAGTAGACACTGAAATTGCTAAAACATCTCGTGCAACCTTGCTAAGAACCTTATATTTAGAAGAGTTTACTTTCCACCAGTCTAAGATGTTAAAAGTATCATAATCTTCTGTATTATTCTCTGATAAGTAATGTTCCACCTCTGAATCCACATTAACATCATTTTTATAATTTGCCATATTAGTGACTTGAAAGCGGAAATGATGTACAAACACTATCAACAGTAGAAGCAGCAGTAGATTGACTCATTCGACTCTTTGAAGTAGAAGTARCCTTCTTAGGCATAGACAAATTATACTCAGTAAATAACTTTCTCAAAACATCTACTTTCTTTCCCATTTCCTTTGTAACATTAGCCGCAAATAGTGAGTGAAACAGTACATAAGAAATTTCATCTTATAACGAGGGTCGAGAACAAATGCAACATACAATAAGTAATTCGCTTTTTCACTATTCCCCTCGTACTTATCATATTTCAGCTGCATTTTGGTCGCTATACTAGCAAGAATGAGATTACTGCTATCACAAGAATAGTTTCTTGTACAATTTTGGATAGTAGAAATCTCATGGAAGACCATATTGAACGTACTATAAAGAGAACCAGAAATTCTAAGGGTTACTTCATAAAATACTGATAAAAATTTATTAAATGTACGAGCAATCTCCCAATCAGTACTTTTTGGATTCTGATCATCTTTCATGTCAAAGTATACTATGTCTTGGTCTTCTAACCGTTCAAAAGCCTTCTCAAATTTTTCTGCAGCATCAAGCATTAAATATGTCGAGTTCCACCTAGTTGGAACATCAAGACATAGAAGACTATTGCTAGATATATTCTCCTCTTCAATGCACTTCTTAAATTTAGCAAATCTAGCAGGAGAAGATCTAATAAATCTTACAGCATTTCAAATTTTAGTCACTGACTCATGCACATCTTTCAGACCATCACTCACAATCAAATTTAGAATATGTGCACAACACCTAACATGCAAAAAGTCACCATTCAACACCAATCCCTGTTTGAAATGCTTAACTAGATAAGCAATAGCAGTATCATTTGCTGAAGCATTGTCGACAGTCAACGTCAACATCTTTTCTATTCCCCATTGTTTCAAATATCTTTCAACTTCTCTTCCTATGGTCTCCCCTTTATGATTATCAATTTGGGAAAAGTTAATGATTCTCTTATGCAACTTCCAATTACTACCAATAAAATGTACAGTCAAGACCATATAGTTTATATTTTGACAGGATGTCCAAGTATTAGTTGTAAGTGAAATTCTATACCCTTGATTCACCGGAAGTTCTTTCATCTCTTGTTTTTTGCTAGCATATATTGCTAAAATATCTTTAGCAATTGTAGTCCGTGAAGGAAGAACAAACTTCGATTCTAATGAAGTGATGGTCCCTTCCATGAATCTTCTAAAACCTTCACTTTCCACAAATCTAAAGGACAATTCATCAATTATGATCATCTCAGCAAGTAGTCTTCTAGCATTATCTACACTAAAAGCTGCACATTTGAGAGAGTTATTTATCATATTTACCCATACATTCTCATTATTTTTAAACACCAATTTTTGTTGAGATGCGTTTTCGTCTTTGCATAAGGGTTTTTTTTTTCAATAACTCTCAATATGTAATCTCATTGTCCCGGTCTCATTCCTTTTTGTATGACATGCATATATAGTACCACAATAATTACATTTGGCTTGTGGTTTATCTTCAATACAATCAGGCAATCTAGTAAAGTGATCCCATACTATTGAAGTTTTTTTCCTCTTTTTTTCAACGGGTGGTAGTGCCATCTCACCATTTTCATCCATATCGTCGTTCTCATCCCCACAATCATGTGCAATTTCTACATTTTATATTGGATTTGACATGATATCACAATTGCCGAGAAAAACAATATGAAATTTAGCCAACTCAACTAATAAATTGTTACAAAAAAAAAAAGTGAATTGTGGAGAAAAAGATCATTTTTAACAAAAGGTAAAACAGAAAAAATAAACTTGTTAAAATGGAAAATTTTTTCAAATAGTCAATTAGAAACTTGCTAAAAGCCTGAAATTGTGATTTGTGAATGTCTGAAGTGAATAGAATAATAGATAGGGGTGGTCGGGGTGCAATGCAAGCAAGCAACTGGAAAATGGGAAATGGGAATGTCTGAATTCGAAATTGAATGAGAAATAAATCGCTGAATTATGGTGTCTGTGGATTCTCGAATTTCAAATTTGAATGAGAAATAAATTGGAAAAAATAGAATTGTGGTGTCTGTCAATTGATTGCCATTGTGGATTGGAATTTGGATTCAATTGGGACTCTTCGAAGTCCAAAATCATAAATTCAATTGAATAATTGATGTATAGCACAATAAATAATAATGGGAGTGGGAGGGACGTGGAATTGGAATGGGCGGACGGAACGCAGAGTGAAGGTGTGCGGGCTGTGACGGTTGGCTATCATGCAAAATTCGAAGGAAAATAAAAAAAAAATAATATATATATATATATTATCGATTTGGTTCAGGTTCATACGGTTTGGAACCAGCGAACCCGCAACCAAACCAAAATACTTCGGTTTAGGATATTATTTAGCCGAACCCGACTAACCGAACCGAACCGAAATTGAAGTTGGTTCGGTTTCAGTCGGTTTTGGCAGTTTTGGCTTGCACCCCTAGAATGAATGTAACGACCATTTAAGGAATAAAAGGAATGCTAAAAAAATCATAAAGAGAGGCGGTTTAGACAAGAAAGCAACGGAAAGAAATAAGAAATCCAACGGGGAGAAATGAAGGGCCAGTTTGGTAACGTTCTCGTTTCCTATTTTTCGTTTTTCATTTTTCGTTTCTTATTTCTTGTTTTTCATCTCTAACTTTTTTAGAACTATAAAATGTTTGGTAACCATTTATGTTTTATGTTTCTTTCAAAAAAAAAAAGGACAAAAATATGTTTGATTATTGTTTCTTCTTTCTTATTTTTATTTTTAGTAATTCTTCTACAACTTGTTGACCAAGGATAATGTCTTAACTCAAATTGGCTTTTTCTTTTATTTAAAATATAATTTAATAGATACAATATAAAAATATATCATATACGCTCGAAGAATATAATTCATTAAAGTCTACACAATCTTTGCTTCCACAATTATATCCCATAAAACAAAACCAATCATACACAATAAGAGATTATAGGGAAAAAAAACAATAACGGCAAAGAAAATTTATACTAGTTCACCCAAAAATGGCTACGTCCAATCTTCTGCTTAGATGTGAGTTCCACTATATCAGAATTGGTACTGTTGGGTTTTATGCCATAAACTCGTGGTTTGTAAACATAAAACAAATATTCATTCAATAAAGTTGTTATTGATGTTTCTCTTAGAATTGCATTAACTCAAATCCAATAAACTAACATCCGAGGTTATGTCATGTAACTGAAGCAGTATATAACAGATATACAATATATATTTGATAAATAGTGTATATATATACAGTATATATTTGATATATAGTGTATATATATACAGTATATATTCGATATATAGGTGGATAATGTTCCAGTAGTAACCTAAATGGTCTATAGTATATGGATAAGGTTGGGTACCTTATCCTAGTAACACTATGGAAGCGACCTACTTTGTAATAGTTACAAATGACTTGATCCAGGTCGTTCGGGTGGAGACATACGAGTGGGGGTATCCTATACAATGAGTTTGCATAAGACCGGACCACAAAATTATTTAATCTTTAGCTGTAACACTGTTAGCTAATAGATTAATATTTCAATAGGGTGACCAGGTAACTCGATCTCAATCTTGAGTGAGTTATGGACTCCTGCCTGTTAGGGAACATCTTTTGATTTGTATGTGTGAGAGTGGTCCGAATCACCGACTCAATATTCCTACCATTTTGGGGACGAGACTGAGTGGGGAGCTGGAAACATAACTATACAAGATTCAATTCACTCCTTCCCGACTTATGGGTAAATAGATGAGTGTTCTCTTAAGTCCTGACTCCGAGACTTAAACAAGGGACCCCACCCTCTAACTGGCCCGAGAGGGACTCCCGGTTATTGATTGGACCATAATCGGGTTGTTCATTAGAGGATCAATGGTACTTAAGGTACAAGATGTAACATAGGGGTAAAACGGTAATTTGACCCAGATGTGGTTACGAACACTCGTGAAGGATTAATCTCGTATCGTTGGAGCTTTTGATCTGTAGGTCCATTAGGTCCCCTTGTTAACTCGTAAAGGATAGTTAAGAACATTTAGTCTTGAAAAGAATTTGAATTGTTTAAATTAGTTAAAGAGAATTAAGGTTAATTGTATGAGATGCAATTAATATAATGTATGGTGGAAAGTGGGGAGGTTTTCCCCACTTCCCACCATTGAAGTGAGTGGGGGAAGTGGTGACTTCCCCCTCACTCCTCCTCCCCTATAAAAGGGAGGTACTCGTATTTCTTTTATGTAGCCCGAACGTCGGTTGATAGAGTTTTTGAAACTCTAACGAGAAAATCTCTCTCTCGATTTCTCAATTTCCCTTTTAATTATAAGACGGTTCCCACAAACCGAGTTCTTAATATCCATAAAATAGCGAGGAAGACTTTGTGGTGGTGTTGGTGTCTACATTGAAGAGGTGTCTTCAAACATATGTATCACTAACTTCCTTTTTACTCATGCTTATGTCTTTTCTTTGTTGTAATTCTAAAACAAGATCGAAGCACACGCGTTCACGCGCTTCCACTGCGGGATCTGATCCTTCAGGTACAAGCACTCAAAATATCTCTCACATATATTCATTCTCTAGAGGTCCCAACAAAACCCCTCTAACTTCTTCCTTTCTTTATTCTTGCTTTATTCCAGCTTTATCCTAACTCATTCCAACGTGGATATGGCTCCACCAATCCATAAAATCTCCAACTTGGAGATAAAGCGACGATCTCACCTCCCACTGCAACAAAGCAGTGTCACTAATATTGGTTACCCTATGAAGGCTCAGTTCTTATTACACCATCAACAATTGATTCTCATCAACTCAGCCCATTTACCCTGAGACTGAGCAATTCTACGTGGTTTTGTCTCCCAAACGTTAGAGACACAGCCACGTGCTTCTACTTAATCTAAGTGGTACCCGATGCATCCTTCMTCCATCGAAC